CGTTGGTGCAATGTTCCTTTTCTTTTCGTGTGCATGGCGTCGTTCTGGCTGGTGTGCCGCCGCAGTGGGTGCAGCCGAATTCGGCTCTGAGGGCCCCGGACAAACGATGTGGACGCTTCTGTCTTTTGACGAGTTGCCATCCTGGGCGTGTGTGCGCCTGCTCCGTGTGTTGTTTGGGCTGCACGCACCGGGCGAGCAGCCGGAAACTGTGGGCACGTTGACGCCGCCCGCCCGCCTCCTCCTCCTCCTCTCTTGCCGACTGAAGGAGTGCGTGCGGGAGGGGGCCGCCTCGCTTTATTCGGCGGGTTTTTTTTGTTTTTGTGTTTTTGCAGGGGCAGCGGAGCAGTTGGGGGTAAACTCCTCCTTGTGGGGGTGCGGGCTTCGGAGCCATTTGCGGTGAGGGTAAACTGTGTGTGTGTGTGTGTGTGTGTGTTTCAGTGAGGGAGCAGCAGCGGGGAGGTGAAGATCCCAATGAAATGTAAACGATGTTTGTGTCTGCGGACGTCCAGTGGGATGATGCAGATGCATCCGTCCCTGCGGGTAATGTACACCGTTTTGTGAGACCACCTGCCCTATACGCCTTTTGCTTTAGTTTTTGCTTCGGGGGCCCATCGTGACGGATGCGGCGGCAACAGGGCCGGCCGACGTCAAACGCTCTGAGGGCTTGGGCCCCTCCTCTTCGCGAGCCCCCCGGCCGTTTGGCCACGCACAGCTGCCGCCCATGCGCCTCGCAACTGCCAATTCCGTGGGGGACACGTGCCACGGCGCCGGCGCCGTCTTGGGTGAGTGTCTTTTGGGCGTCGCAGTGCAGAGCCTGACACCACAACCGCCGGACGCAGCTGTGCAAATGCGGTTGGGCGGCCTCAGAGCTGCGATTGGGGATCGGGTGCCACAAGGCGCCTGCGTCACGGGCTGGCCTCCCTTTTTTTTGTTGGGGAACTTCTCAAAAAAAGGCAAACAGGCTGCCCGCCCGCACCGCCCCCGCCTCTGGTTGAGGGAGGCGCACCGCTGGGAGGTCTGCCGCTGCTGTGCGGCTTTTATGCGTGTTTGGCTGTGGTCTCCCGCTGCTGCCTTTTTATTCGTTCCCTCTGCACTCCCGCTCCCTCTTTCTTTATTTCTCCCTCCCGCTGCCCCGCAGCCCACCAAGTCGGCTGTGCCCCTACCACCACTGCGACCGATGGCGATGACGCTGACAGTGCGGCGCCGTGCGGTGTGCGCCCTGGCGCTCCTCGCGCTGCTCTGCGCCTCCGTCTGCGGGGCGACTGCGGCGGAGGCTGCGACTAAAGTGTCGGTGGAGGTGTCATGCCCGAACACTGACGGCAAGTTGAGTTGGCGCGTTGCCGGCGAGAAATCGCCCACTTGGAAGGAGTGTCCTCAGGCGGTGACGGGTGCGGGGAGCATTGAAAGCGCCGTCACTGTCTCTCATGCCCTCTGCTTCGTGGCCGGATCGGTGTACCTGGGGGGGTTCCCGAATGTGAAGTGCCCTTCACCCCCAACGGAGGGCGGAGGCGCTGCTGCGTTTGCGTTGTCCTGCACGGCGGCCGCAAACAGTGCGTTGCACAATCTGTCGAAGGGCGAAACAGTTGCCATCAGTCCAACTGAGAATCCACTTGGCGAGTCCGGCGATTGTGAGCTCCCAAACTTCAACCAACCCGCGGCTGAGGTACGGTCTACATCACAACCGCAGTAACAACAGCAACCAGCAGGCACACAACAACAACCACAACAACAACCGGGGGCAGCATTGCCAGCGGCCTCATCTGCAGCGCAAACTCCACAAGGAGACCGTGCGGGGAATGGGGGCTCCACTGCTACTGTTGGGGAGCAGACAGACAGTGCGGAGCGAGGCGGAAGTCGGGGACCATCGGCAGAAGGTTCTCGGGAAACACCAACGCCATCGGCTGGCACTGCGGCTACGCCAACACAGACGGCAGGCGACAGGGCAGCAGATGGAACGACGACGACGACGAACACCCGCATCCCGAGTGCTGGGAGCCACGCGAAAAGCAACGCGGACGGCAGTGCCACCAACAGCAACACCACTCAGAAAGCCGTGGCAAATGCTGCGGATCGCAGTGCCACCTCCACTCCGTTTGTGCGTGCATCTTTGCTGCTGCTGCTACTCACGGCCGCCCTTGCCTGCGCTGCTGGGCAGTGGTGAGGGGCAAAGGATACACACCTACACACCCTGGCAGGGGCGACGCCTAAACATTGTGCGCTCATTTTGCTTGTCGTCCCTGTGGGTTAATCCTTCACTCTCCCTCCTGTGCTCTGAGGGATGTTTTCTTTTCTTCTTTTCTTTTTGCTTCGCCACCCCATGCGCGTTCTCATGGGCGGCGCCCCCTTTTCCCCCTCCTGTTTGCTGCCACACGCCCACACCCACACACACGCAGTGCCAGTCGCATTGCTGTGCGCCGCACGGATTTTGACGCAACTGAAGTGTTGAAGTGCGGGCCGAACGCCGCATGAAATGGGCGAGGGATGTGTGGGCTCCTGCAGCATGGGCGATGCTTTTCTTCATGCAGGTGTTAAAATATACATGCATCTCTCACAGTTCTCTTGTGCTGCTGGACACGTGAGGTGAAGGAACACCACCTGCCGAAGTTAATTTCTTTTATATATTTTTCTTTTGGGGGTCCTGCGGGGATTACTCACATCTCTTTTCCGTCTCTTCTTTTCTTTTTCTTTCGCGGCCTGGGCGATGCTCACCGCTGCCGTGGGCCCCAGCGCCGCTGCCGCCACTGCCGTGTGGGGTCGCGCCGTTCTTAACTCCTTCTTCTGCCGGTGTGCCGAGACGCCTCTGCGTTGTCCATTTCTTTTTTTCTCTGCCACTTTTCCTTCCACACACACGCAGAAGGAAAGAGGCCAAGCGCTGCTCGTTGCCGCTGTGCGCTTTGAAGGCTTCGAGGTCACAGCAACACACACAACCGTCGCGGCCTGCGCGGATCCACCGCTAGGAAGAGAGTGAGCGGCAGCGGCCCAACATGTCCCGGCGCCTGTTCTCTTCTGCGCTGCTCCTCCTCTTTTTCATATGCTGCGGCAGTGGGTCTGTGCAGGCTGATGGGCCTCTCGCAGCGACGGCCCTCGATCCAT